AAAAAAGTTACAAAATACATGTGACACATTTTAAAAATAAACAAAGCACCCCAATATTCACAGGTTACACATAAACTAGGGCTGTGCGATATGACCAAAATCTCATATCCCGATATAAGAATTCTATCGTCCGATAACGATATAAATCACAAAAAAGTAACATTTTCTTTAAATTCTGTGAATCTCGGGCAGCTCGACTTGCAGGAAGTGTTTCCAGCTGCGCGTCATGTAGCGGGAGTCGAGTGTTTTAACCGATGCATGAAACGATACATTTTTAGACATAAGTTGTAACAGCCGCCGTTTTCTTTGTATTTATTACACGGCGTGCTGCGGGGAAAAGCCTGTTCTAAAAGTCTAAGGTTTATTTTTTAGCACCTGGCGGCTCTTTTTTACTTCTCATCCGTAAATAATCTGCTATTTCACGTGATTCAGTTTATTTTGAAAAGTCTCAACAGGATCTTGAGCTTTATTGTGAAAGGTTTATGTGGAAAATAAACAAGCGGACACGCGATGGTGTTACCATCATTGTTGCTAACCACAACGCATAAAAACAGGCGCTTGTCTGTCCATAGTGTGGTTATATAAAATATAAGAGAAAGAGAGAACTTTATGAAATTAATATAGCCACTACAGTGATCATCAAAATGGTGAAAAAATATTGCCGTAAATAGTTTATTTTGCGACATCATGAAACAAACGACAGCGTAAAATGTGAAACGATAGACGTTTTTACATCCTCATCTGATATATATCGTTATATCGAACAGCCCTAACATAAACCCTCAAAAGGAGGCCTAAACAAACAAAAAAAATTCATCTGGGCTTTTGATGAGGACACATCACAACTCCTCACATTAAATTCCTGTTGTTAACAAATACGCTTTCATAGGATCTTCTTGGTTAAAGACTGAACCAGTTTTCTTAGATTATATTGTAAGGTGAAGACCCTGCAATATTATTAAGAATGAATGAATGAGTGAATTAGAAAATTGTTCATCTGTTGTCAGCATGTGCTCGTTTAAGGTGGACTGAGCCGAAGTGGAAAGCTGTAATCTGGTCTGATAAATCAAAGTCAGGAAATCATGGAACAGCCATTTCTGGGCTAGAAAGAGACACCATATAGCTTGTTATTGGTGCACAGCTCACAAGCAATCATATGTGACTATATGGAGTACCATTAGTGTGCAGGGCACCACTGTGTTGCATCATCTCTTCTCCTCTGAGTGTTTGGGAGCTAAGGAGTCCAAATGGTTTTGCACTGTTACAGCAGGATTTCAGCTGCTCAGGAGGTAAGAGCCTGCTTTGTTGTATTATTCATTTTGTAATGCTCCAAATGTTTTTTCAGTGGGTGACAGCTCAGGAATGCAGGCAGGCCAGTTTCAGAGATATTATGAAAGACACGGCATGAAAAGAATCCCGAAGTGTAATAGGAGAAGAGATGAGGGTTAAGAGAAGCCTTTTGAAAGACTTATTTTGGGGCAAATAAAACTACATTTCATGAATTTTCTTGCAAGCTTTAAGTTTACTCCATGACTTTATGCAGAAAAACTAATGAAAGATAACTTGTTTACGTGATTATCTGTGTGAACACCTATATCAAAGCAGAGGTTTTTACAGTTTGCGGGTTTGGCCTATTCAGGTGCGTGTAAACACAATGCTACAATCTCCCCAGGAGTGGATGTCCAAGCAAATCCCAGCATTGCACAGTCAAACCATGCAATACTCAAAGAAATCTAAGAGCTACATCTCAGACTCTACAGACTCTAAGTATGGCTTGTTTGGAAAGGTTCACTCTCAGTAAAAAGAACATGGCAGCATGGCTTAGCTTAGCTTATCCTAGCAAAGCTGCATCTGAAGAAAACTGCAAGACTTCTGGAACAATGTACTATATTCAGATGAAACCAAACCAAACTGGCCTAAAAACCAAACTCAGCATTTCAGCACCAACAGCTCACACCAGCTGTCGAGTAAGGTGGTGGAGAGATAATCATTTGGGTTTGTTTTCCACCCACAAAAGCTGGGTACCGGGCAGTCATTGAGTTGACCATGAACTCTTCTGAACACCAAAGTATTGTAGAGTCAAATACGAGGTCATCTCTGTGACAGGAATAAAGAGTACAATGATGCCAAACACAGCAGCAAATCTACAACAAAATGTCTATAAACGGAAACTAGCGGTGTTGCAGTGGCCCACTGAAAGTCCTGACCGCAAACTGACAGCACATAAACAAATGTCCACAAACCTCAATGCACTGAATTTTAGAGAAGAGTAGGTCAAAATCTCTCCACAAATTCAAGTTATATCAGCTCAAGCTGCCTTTACAAGCTACTGAATCATGGGGTGTGACAAAGTGGCTAGGACTGAATTCATTTACCATTTGTCACTTGCATATATTGTTATTTTGTGTTCTGTTATGTTTTAGTCAATCATAATGCTTTAATGTAAACACAGCACATGTAACCTTGGCTCTGCATACTATCTCTGTTTGTGGTAGCATTGGTTACATTCAGTACATCTGTGTTCCTAAAGCTAAATGTCACTTAATCATTAGTCGATTTGAATCTTTCATTTGTTTATGTAGTTTGGTTATATTTACCACTGTGTGTTCCTTTGTGCAGGTCCTATATGCGAAACAGGTATGTGGGAAGATGCTGTTTTCCTATCACTTTCCATGCTGCTTATGTTATGCTACCTTCAAAGGATTGCACAGAGCTGTATAAAAACGTATTTTTACACATGGATGCATGTGCGTGAAGGTATTTTGAAATAGCTGTAAAATTACGAGACACTCGCTTTTATAAGGATTTTAGTTTAACACAATATAGCTACAATCAAGTATAATGTTACGTGCGTGTGTTGGTGGGTTATTTGTTTCCTAATGTGTGTATGCAAATTCACCTGTGCAGGGGCTCGGCTGTGATTGGTGGACCTAAGGAACGGCCTGATGTAACTGGTTCCTGCTGTGGACGTGAACTATAAAAGGGCGACTGAAAAGCTGCGGTGCGGGGGGATGTGGCAGACTTCCCGTGCACTTGCCTCAGGTCCAGACGGAGCGGCCGTAGCTATTTGGTTAAAAGGTCGGGCATGTGTGTGAAGTGCGGAGCAAGTAGGGGTGAGCTGCCGATTATTTTGGGAAGCCTTCTTTTCTCCTGTGTTTTTAGACCAGGGAGGTCAGACTGTGTTATTTCTTTCTTTTCTTTTCCTTGAACAGGTCAGAGGGGAACCGAAGCCTAGGTTGAGTTTTGTTTGTTGTGTTGGCCTTAGCTCACCCCGAAATTATACACTCCCACTACCGTGAGTGCCACTGTTGTCAATAAACTATTGTTAAAAGTCCGATGCTGTGACTGTGTCTGTTTGGGCGTGGGAAGTCACGGGACACCCTGCTCCTGTTACGGTCATTTCGAGCCGGGTCGTAACATATAAGATATAAAATAAGATTTATTTTTAAATACATTGTTTTTGCATTGTTTCTAACCAAATACAGGGTTTTTAAGACTTGCAGAATCACTGCATGCCACCATTTTTTCAACAGAGTTAGTGTGGAGTTCACAAACTGCCTACATGCACAATAAAATTCAGAAGATTACAAATAGCAGCATTCAAGCTGCACATCTCAGGGGACATAGAAATAGTTCTATGTTTGGCTTTTTACGGATGATCAGCAAGCATTTATTCTCAAAAGAAGGTGTTTTTGTGTTTTGTTTTTTTATTAAAGCATTCAAAACTATATCCTAAATCCAAACTACCTTGGGATGTACAGTACTTTATTTATTATTATTATTATTATAGGTTATAAGTTAAGTGGTTTGAATCTTTTAAAATCCTTCTTTTTTTTAATGAACATGCTCTTGTGCTTTGGTTGAACTGAACTTAAACTTTCTGTCTCCAGTTTGTTAGTTTCTCACTTCTCCAGACTGCAAGATTTCCTGTGTGGAATGATTTTCATGAGCAGTGACCCATTAATAAAAGTTTGACAAGCAGCAAGTGTCAGCATTCAGAAGCTTCCCAAAACCACTCCAGACACTTATTTGTGGATTTATTTTAAAGCACCATCTAAATTAACTTTAATTTTAAGAGATTAAAACTGAATGCACAAAGTCAACAGTTACATTTGCTTTGATTTTGATGACTATGACCCTGGGATACAATCTTAAAACCTCTATTTTCATTCTCCTGTTCTGCTTCTACCACCATTTTTGCTGTTCCAAAAGTACCCTAAAAGCTTTAAATTCAAGATTATTGCTCCTATAATATCTCCGCTCAAACTATCTGTTCTTATGCTTTTATTTCCTGATTCTTTTGCAGAACGCACACGAGCTGTACCACAAGAACATCGACTGCATGCTAAGAGCAGTGACAGCCTTGGTTTTAAAGAAGTGGTGGTCAAAGAAATGCCCTAGATAAGCCCACCCACATCCTTTTTACTGACACATATATACTAAAATAAACATCACCACAAAAACATATAAAGGCAATGGTAATCAGAATTAATACTCTTTGTGGTTCCACATTTTCCAAACACTATTCCTTTATCAGTTACAGTCTGCAAAGCTTCAGCTTGTCAGTGTACATTTAAAAGAATACAAGCATGTGTTTACTGGATGCTCGCACTGAAGTTGGGCATGGGTTCAGCATACAATTTTACCACATCACAAGCCTTGAGAAAAAACATTTTCTTCCACAGAGAGGTTCAGTTACTGAGGAAACACAAAGCTCTTCATCTCACTGTTTAAGACCCAAACCCAGGAAAAGCAACATGCTTGAAAACAAAATGCATGCTTTTGGAGTTAGAACTTTCTGTGTAAAACACACAGAGACACAGACACACACATTCAGGGGAGGCTCAGGGCACCATTAATAATTACGGTTAATGTGATCTCACTTAAACTTGAGAGGGGACGTGTAAGTCAGCTCTTCACAGCTCTTGCAAGTGCATGACACAGAGAGAGAGAAAGAGAGAGAGAGAGTGTCAGAGAGGACATAAAGTGTATGTGTGTGTGTGTGTGTGTGTGTCGTGTAATGCAGCTGCTGCGTGATGATCAACATCCACAAGCTTCTTTACTTCGCTAAGTAAGTGTTTCTCCCTCCTTTTCAATTGCTGTGTCATATGATGTTGGATGATCTCACTGATGAAACTATCAATGTACAGCTGTGGGAGCAGGCGTAAATAGATGGCCTCTTCATTAGCTGAGCTGGAGATGCTGACCATCATGTTTTCTCTCCTGGTTTTTGCCCTCTTCACACTTGGAGGGATGCTCAATGAGGAATGTGGACAGTCAAATGGTACAACTAAGACACACACACACACACACATACACAAATGTCTGGACTGTGACTTAGCGTCTGCACTCACACTTAGGTAAAATAGCAAAATATTAGAGCACCAAAGTACTTCAAAAATGATTACACATTTCAAATAATAATAATATATAAATACATATATACCTTCATACATATAGGAAATTTTTGTCATCAACTTAGTGAAGTTTGTCAACTCTGCAAGCATTAAGCACATGTGGCACACATGTTTAACGAGAATAGGATTTCCACATTAAACTGAGAGTTATTTCCACATAACTGAGAGTTATTTCCACATAACTGAACTTTCTATATCTTCCTCCTGTCAAGACAAACCTGTCTAATTATGAACCTCAGCTTTGAAGCGTTATCTTTAACCTTATTTTCACACAATAAGGTTCTCTTTGTATTTCATTTGTACTTCCTTTGACTGGAATTGCTGCTTTGTTTTATATATTTTATGTTTTAGTGATATTAAATTATTATTATATTAAATGTATTATATTTTTTTCCATTGGTTCATTTATACTTCCACTTGGAGAATGCTTCAGATAAAAAAAACTACCACTAGATCACAAGGCAAACTGTCCAGGCAGGATATAAGATTCTTATATATCTATTTACGATCTACTATCATGAATGAACCCCACACAATTTCTATCAAATGTATAAATCATATTTTATAGATTTATATATATATATACATATACATACATTATTACATTTAATTCTAAGATTCGATTATGATAGGCCCATTTTTTTAAACATTTATATTTAATAGCCTACAACATGAAAGATGGTCAAATTATTTTGTTTGGCATCACATTAATTATTAAATGTTATTAATAAATCATTATTATTTTATGTGACCAGATCTGTGATAAAGTATTGCATTTTGAGGTGAAAAACCAAAGCAATTAACTTTCTGTTTCCATTTTCTGCAGCGACTAACACAAACCCACAAAACGATGTGCTGACTGTCTGACTTTGATGAGGGTTATGATTCAGATACAGAAGATTCACAGGGGAAAAGCAGCCCTCTGAGAATGTGACAGTCAAAGCCCCCTCCTGTGTGAACCTGTTGGTTACCAGACAAAAAGTTGAACTGATAACCTCTGAACACAAGTGCATGTGTACTTTGTTAAAGGATCTTGCATCCTCCAGGATGAGCCATAGGGGAGTGGCCTACACTACACATTGTAAAAGAAAAAAAAAGGACTGAACAAAGAAACGCCTGCTTTAACAAACAGTGTCAAGTCAGTATCTCGTGCCTGCTTTCTTTGTGAGAGTGTGAAGACAGAAGGATTTTATCTAACCTAGAACTGAAAGCAGCTGCTTCTACCAGTAAGTTTTAAAAACTTAACCGTACCTGCTCTTCTTCTTATTCACTCTTTTCTTGTACCTCCTCTTTGAGTTGCTCAAGGATGTTTTCTTCTACCCACTGACGGTTACCTTTGATACTGGAAGGCAGTTGAAAAATCTAGGTCAAAAACAAAAGGTGTGTTTGGCAGGTTGTGAGCGAGCCATCTGATCACTCTATTGAAATGAGAAGTATGAATCACTTGTGCCAAGGCTCAAAGGCTATCGCTAGTGTGAATGCCTACATTTACAGAGAGAAAAATGTAGGAATCACAGGCCATCTGTGGTCAGCTACACTGATTCATTCAGCCTGTCTGTGACAACATAAAAATGCTCTGTTATTCAGCACCAGCTCTTGTTTGACAGCCGTGTTTTCATAAACATGTAAATCTATAACTATTTTGCTTACCTGACACGTGATGGCTAAAGAGTTAAAACAAAAAGAATATAATAAAGGATGTTTGATTCTGAAACTCTGCTGAAGATTAAAAATGTATTCACTGATGTTAAGTTCACAGAAAGTCCCTGAAACTTCAGTGACTGTACTTTTTTCTTTGATTTTTCACACTGACTGTTTTATTCATGGGAGCCCGGCCTGGAGTTTCAGCCTGCCACTCATACTGCGATACCACTGTACATTTCTTAACTTTCTAAACCCAGCAGGTGATACTGCTGAGGTTGTGTGAATTCTCACATTTCAAGCTGAACATAAAGCAGAGAAGTCTCGAATGTAATGCCAATTCCAAGTTTATACAGCCCTCTGGTGGCAGTGCACGCAGAACTGCACTCGAAGGATTGCAAAAGCCTTTAAAAAAAAATCATCTACTGAACTCACTTACAGCCTGATTTGCTGGGCAGTTTACAGAGAATTAAACTGTTTAATATTTTAAAATGCGCCCCATTTTCATGAATACACATAGTCCATAACTTAATCTTAGAAGTATACACTTACCAGCCACTTCATAAGGTACATGTTAGTATTCATTTTGCGGTACAGTGCCGCTTTAATTCAACCTGATATTGATTGATGATTTGTTCATACTGACACAATAGCATCACACAGCTGATAGTTGTCGGTTGCACATACTGATCTTCGGTGGAACAACACTCTATCGGATTCAGGTCTGGTGACTGTGGAGGCCACCTGAGTACAATGCGCTCATTGTCATTTTCAAGAAAGCAGTTTGAGATGATTTGACCTTTGTGACATGGTGTGTTATCATGCTGAAAGCAGCCACCAGAAGATAGGTCCACTGTCGTCATAAAAGAGTGGACATGGTCAGCAAAAATACTCAGGGAGACTGTGGCATTTAAAAACATGCTCAGTTGGTACTAATGGGGCTAAAGCATGCCAAATAAACATCTCCCACCACCAGCAGCCTGAACAGTTGATACAAGGCAAAATGGATCCATGCTTTCACACCACACCAAACTGTGACCCAAATGTTGCAGCTAAAATTGATATCCATCAGATCAGCAACATTTCTACAACGTTCTATTGTCACATTTTGGTGAGCCCGTGTGAAATATAGCCTCCTGTTCTTAGAGGACAGAAGTGGCAGAAGTCTGCTGCTGTAGCGCATCTCTTTCAAAGTTCTCACCATTCTCTGTGAACCGTAGAGATGGTTGTGTGGGAAAATCCTAGCATTTAAGCAGTTTCTGAAATACTCAGACCCCCATTTGACAACATAACACATTTGAAAAGATTAAAACCGCCTTTCTTTCTCATTCTGATGCTCACTTTGAACTTCAGCAGGTCATCTTTACCATTTCTACATTCCTAAATCCACTGAGTTGCTGCCATCTAACTGGCTGACTAGAAATTTTCTGGTATACCCAGCATAGTGGTTGGTGACTGTATAATTAGAAGCAAGAAGTTTAGTGAGCTAGATTCAAGATTGTTTGTTTGTCACGCGCATGGTTATACAGGTATAACACGCACTGAAATGTGACCTGATACGCTCCTCGACTGTGCAAAGAAATAAAAAAAGAGATCCTTTCTATGAGTAGTCTGCATGTTCCAGCTTTGCCAGTGTGGGTTTAGTAATTCCAGCTTTAGGCGTGGAAATGAGCCTGTGTGGTAGCTCTGTCTGTGCCTGAGCATAAAATTATACAGTGAAGCTACACTGTGGCAAAGAGTAATTTCTTCACTCCTCTGTATAAATGAGTCCTGTTTTGTGTTGTATAGTTGTGTAGATGGAACTGCCATTCACTGGCTTTGAGCTGACCTTCATCATCGTTGCCTTCATCATCTTCACTCTCTTCAGTTTGGCTTCAGTCTGTTTTCAACCACAGGCAGCCCGGCCAGGTACACATTTAGCCTCTGATATCACCACAGAAACCAACGTCAGCCTCTCTAACGCCGATTATCTATGCTCTATCTCAGAAAAAGATGTCTATGAAGTGAAGAAACTGCAGCCATGTAACAGGAAGCAGAGAGTGATCATCAAAGAAGCTGGACAGAACACATAAAGCAAACATTATAAACCCCAGCTGAGTGAAGGCAAAACTGAAAACACCGCTTACTGTTCTTCTTTTTTTTTTGTATTAGTGTTGACGCAGTGCCCATTACAGTAGGTTCCCACAATAAAGATAAGGTGGCAATAAACTAGTACCCTATTAACTATACAGCTTCGTGAGTTATGAGTATTGTTATAAGGCTGAAGGTAATCATTTAGAAGTGTAACACAAATTGCTAACAGCATAACGTGATCTCAGCGTATTTGTTCAGGTATCTGGAGAGGACGATTAGATAAACTTGTAGAGCAAAGATCCTGTTTGTACAGTTTATCACTGTAACACCACATCTTTTCTTTCCTCTATGATAATTTGCTCTTTAGCCCCATCTCCAGTTTTAAAAAAGCATCAGCTGAATTCTGAACTGAGGCCACAGAAAAATAGGTAGAGTTAAATGCCGTGGAGCTGAAGAACCAGACAGAGCCGAACACTGGTGCACAGATCTCTGACAAGCCGTGATGTCTGAGTTAGGATTTAACAAACCAAGTGACTTTC